TATATATGTGTGTGTGTGTGTGTGTATATATATGTATATATATATATACATATATATCTATGCATATATATATATATGCATTTATATATATATTGTTATTGTTATGATATGTTTAGTTGTGTCTTCATCTGCATATACATGTCGCTTCAACATTGCTCATGCGGGTCAATGTACGGGTATATTGAAGCATTCACACAAATCTGCATTCGTGAATATTAGTATATGTACATATGTGTACCACTCATGTAACCATACTGTTTAACAAATCCACAATTTTCGTAGGGGAAAGAGTCCTGGGATCTGGACAACGCCGGCAGAGTGGCTGATGCAGAGGCATTTAAGGTGAGTTGTTCGATGGTATCTCCACTATTGCGCGGGTGTGGCTCTGATCCATCGCATGAGACGATACCTTAAAACCCGCCGATGTGCATGTGTGTGAAACTCGTCCCTTTTCGAGGAGGTGAGTTGTGGTACCTATAACTACCGGGAGGATAGCTGCATGCCAACGAGAACTTCTGATGGTCTATTCTCAAACTTCTTATGCAAGCGAACGTTTCTACTCGTTGGCAGTACCCCTATACCTCTCCAGGGCTTCGTCCGTTACCACACGGTCACATCCACTGTGATCATCGCATGTGTGGCCGCAAACAACATCTGACTGTGAGCGATGAATATTTGCTTGGTTGTGGCTATAGATTTCAGTATCTGTTGCACATGCGGAACACACACATGGTCTTGGTCATGGCACAAGTGTACACTTGCCTTCCGTACCTCTCTATCACACTCATTCATTACATACGCTCGAGTGACACGAAGAAGATGCCCGTACCTTACTATCACACTCATTAATTACATACACTCGAGTGACGCGAAGAAGAAGCCCGTACCTCACTACCACACTCATTAATTTCTTACGCTCGAGTGACGCGAAGAAGAAGCCTGTACCTCACCTATCACACTCATTAATTACATACGCTCGAGTGACGCGAAGAAAAAGCTCGTACCTCACTATCACACCCATTAATTACATACGCTCGAGTGACGCAAAGAAGAAGCCCGTACCTCTTAATTACATACGCTCGAGTGACGCGAATAAGAAGCCCGTACATCACTATCACACTCATTAATTACATACGCTCGAGTGACGCGAAGAAGAAGCCCGTACCTCACTATCACACTCTCTAGTGACGCGAAGAAGAAGCCCGTACCTCGCTATCACACTCATTGATTACATGCGCTCGAGTGACGCGGAGAAGAAGCCGTATCTCACTATCACACTCATTAATTACATACGCTCGCGTGACGCGAAGAAGAATCCCGTACCTCACTATCACACTTCATTAATTTCAACGCTCGAGTGGACGCGGAAAA